TGTATGCACAGAGCGACACCAAAAGAGAATTTGCCGATAATCAGAGTCAAAAGAGTCCCAATGTAAAAGTACACTTAGCCATCTGTTACTGAAAATAGTGTGGCGGACATGCAAGCCAGATCGAAAAAGAAGCGACGATAAATTGCGACAGTGAACTTCGTAGTTGCCAGAATGTTTGAGTGACGAACTTTGTTAACAATCTACTATATAAGGGCTGCAGGGACAGCTCTAATTAGAGTGCTGCTTAGTAAAGAGATATAACCAATAAGTTGTAAAATCGCATAATAAGTAATAAGTTTTAAGTTGTTTAAGTTAGAAATAAAGATAAGCGTATAGAAATTGTATTGGAGATAACCATTTGAAAATGGCCAAATTTTAACGACCTAGGGACTCCACAATTAAAAAAGAAGTTAAAGCAGCATGGTTTGGCTACAAATGGATTAAAAATTGAATTGTGATGACGGTTGCGAGAGACCATGGAGGCAGAAAGCGTTAAACTACGTCTCTCAATTGGAATTACAGGAAGAGACAACGAAGATACAAGAAAAGGAAGAGACTCAATGCTCATAATCGCTATCATCGTAAAGGGGAAGTAGAGAAACTATCAGCTGATCATATGTAAGCAAAGCGACCGATGAGAAGTGTCCATGGAGAAATGTCAAGTCCGCCTAGGGGTTGAGTTTCTATTGATATACAAGATGGCCGACTTTTGACCGGAAAATGGTTGCGTACTGCTATTTTCTTTTAATTTATGAAAATGCTGTCCTACATATATTGGTTATATGTAAAACCTAACTATTTTTCCAAAATAAAATCTATTTATTTCAGTGATTTAAAAAAAAAAGAGCTATTATTATTGGCAAATTTCAGAATGATTAAGACAAATATTTATGCCTCTTCTTAACTGTGGTAAATAAATAAATAATTACTGCAGAAAAATTAAGCAACCATGTCAAACAACAAAATTCTTATTGAACGAGGCTGGAGAATAAAATATTCAAATGTGTTGCCAGTATTGCTATTGAGCATTGCGTCACAGTGTTGCGTAAGCTAATTTTAAACTACTTTTTAGGAAAGGAATATACCTACCGTATTTTATACTTTAAAGAGATTGAAACTTCAACAAATAATTTTATTAAGAAGTCTATATATATTTAAAAACTAAACTTAGAGCTATATAATAATATTTTAATTTTTCATGTAAATATTGTACATATTTTAATCGCTACTTGCTGAAATACAGAGACCGTTTTTTATACTATACTTATATACAACTTCAACAAATAATTTATTTTTGAAGTCTATTAGAGTATTCACAAGGTGTCATATTGTGTCATATCGTCATAATGTCTTATTTTTTTTATGACTGTCATATCAACACTATTGTTGTTTCCCATGCAAAACTTAAATAGGACAAGTGGAACACGGCGAGGTATGTTTTTTGAGTGTGCTAGTCTATCAGCTGTATCTGTTTTCTTTTTTTATTGTTGACGTTTAAGTGTCTAAAATTAATAAATTAAATCAATTTCAACAATCTCTTTAATAATATGAAATGAAGCCACGCTACTCAGGTAAATTAAATGAAAGAAAAAAATATTTTATGTTTTCTGTGGTTGGAAACGATTTTATTGCAGTGTAAATCAACACGCCGCCGTTTTAACATAAAGAAGCTTTAATTTTATTCACCAGCTGGTGAAGTGCAGAAATATTACACAACATGACATACAACGATTCAAGGGCGCTCACAATTGTCATATTTTTTAAGACTATTGAAATACTACATAAGACATAAAACAAAGCTTGTGAATTGCCTATATATATTCAAGAACTAAATTAAGAACTAAATAGTAATATTTTTTATGTAAAGGGTTGTAATAAATATAGTACATATTTTTATCGATAAATATAAAACGTAAATAAAACTTGTGATTAAATAAATATATTGTAACGGCTTTCTCGATAAATCGTCTACCTGTAACTCACTCTTGAGTTCGATCACTGCCAACAACTTAACACTTATTGCTCGATATTCGAGTTTACAACTTATTGCTTATAGCTTAATTGCTTTTTACTCTCTAATTAGAACTGTCCCTGCAGCACAATCCGGTAGCCCTTATATAGTAATTTATTAACAAAAATTCGCTACTAGAACATTCTGGCAACTACGAATTCGCTGTCTAATTGCTTCTAGCAGATTATCGTCGATTCTGATTTCTTCTGGTATTCGTGTTCGCCACTCTGCCCTCTACCTAAGTCTGATCGTCCCGATTAGACATATTTGCGGTACCAAACGCTGCAAGCCGTTCCAGTGGAACCACCTTCATTTCATTCCTTGGTCTTCCAATGATCTGTATGCTATGCACTACATCATTGAGTCGTTTAATAACCTGGTCCTTCCCAATTACACTGTAATTTGAGAGATAACCCTTTCTTTGTGGGTTATATAACAATACCCAATCGCCTTCAATAAAACTCTCAGAGTTTATTGCCTTGTCGTATTTTGCTTTCATCTTATCTTGTTTTAATTTCTCCAAGGTTTTAGTGATACCCATGTGTCCTCCACTTGGACCGTTGTGCAGCTCGTTGAGAACTTCAGGAATTCTTACTTTTGGAACAATCATCAGAGCTCGTGAACTTTGCCCATCTTCGCTTTCCCATACGCGATGCAAGCAGTTCGACACCAACTTCAAACTATTCCATTGTGACCAATAAGCCTTTGCGACTGGGCTTTCTGCAGCTATTTCTTCTCTTGTTGGGCTTTTATTCATCTCCAATCTTTGGTTTACACTTTTCAAATCTGGACCCTCTTGCTGACATTTCCGTCGCTTCTCCGGATCCCAGTCTGATGTTGGTGGAATCTGCTGGCTCTCTGTTGTTATCACTCGTCAAACGTTGTACTTATTATCTATAGGACATAGTCCTGTTTTTCATGTCAATTTTGATTCCTTGATTCGCTAAAAAGTCTACTCCAATTTCCGAAAACTAGGGTGTATTCTCCAGTTGCAGTATGCAACTTTGCCCAGCTAACGACCTCACTGCTTTCTCAACCAGATCAGATCGAATTATGGAATGTGATGCGCCCGTACCCACAGTCAGTATGCGCTTTTTACCGTCTATGCATCCACTAACGGTAACGTTACCCGTATTTCTGCTTATTTGTGAAATGGAGATTGCAGGGCATTTGCTTGCGGGAGCCAACCCGTGCCCTCTTCGGCTGGCTCGCTTTAGTTTTAACGATTGGTTTGATTTGACATTTGTTTGATCTTCCTCAGCTTTGTGCTGGTTACAGTTGCGTGCAATATGGCCACTTTTTCCGCAGTTGAAGCATTTAAGCAGGACATCATTTTTCTTATGCACTTCCGTAGATTTTTCTAGTGCTTTCTGCATGTTGTCAATTTATTCAAGTAATTGGTTGACCCAAGTGTGTTCCTCTATTTCTACTTTGTGAGCTTTAAATGTTTGATTGCAAAGCAGAGATGCAGTTTCCTGTATCAGAGCATGGGAAGCAATATCTCCGGTGCAGATTCTTTTAATGCAACGAACAATGCAGCTGCTTTATCTTCAACGTTCCAATTATTTGAAGATGCCGTCTTTTCGAATTGAAGCTTAAAAACGTGGAACGGAACAGTGCTATCAAAGGATGACACAATTGGCCGATTTAATTGTAGCTCGCGGAGACGATCTTTTAATTCATCCATTTCAGTTTTAATTTTATCCCGCTCTTCCGAAATCTGTGAGGACGCTTCTGCTATTTGTGAGGTCACCTGTGCTGATATACGTGCATCTTGCCCTGCGAACTGCTCTTCCAAACGAGTTTCTAACAAGGACAATTGGGATTGTTGGGTCAACATTTGTAGGGACATACGTGCATCCGCCTCTTTAATTTGTGTCGATATTTGCGTTGACATTTGCGATATTGCAGCAAAGCCCATGTTTATGTCCACAATCTTTGACGAGCAATGATCCTCTTCCTTTTCTTCTATCTTTGTTGTCTCTTCTTCTAATTCCATGTGAAAGACATATGCCTCAACATTAATGTTTTCCGCCTCCATGGCCTCTCTCAACCGTGATTGTAATTCAGTTTTTAATCCATTTGTCGCCAAGCCCCGTTGCTCCAGCTCCTTTTTCAGTTGTGGAATCTTCAGATCGTTGAACTTGGCTATTTTTAAATAATTATCTCCTTGGGAATTTATTTGACAATCCAACTTCTGACACCAATTGTAACGGATTTCTCGATAAATCGTCTACCTGTAACTCACTCTTGAGTTCGATTACTGAATTGTTAAAGTCCCAATTTAATGGCTATACACTTATCTTTATTTCTAATGCCAACAACTTAACACCTATTGCTCGATATTCGAGTTTACAACTTATTGCTTTTAGCTTAATTGCTTTTTACACGGCAACACTCTAATTAGAACTGCCCCTGCTGCACAATCAGGCAGCTCTTATATAGTAAGTTTTTAACAAAAGTTCGCTACTAGAATATTCTGGCAACTACGCTGTCTAGTTGCTTCTGGCAGTTTATCGTCGATTCTGATTTGTTCTGGTACTCGTGTTCGCCACAATATACTTAAATTAGAGAAAGCATCGGCTCAGTAACCATTTCTTGATATATGTACAATGATCAATTTTGCTTTATTGTTGAAATTAATTATTATGACTTGTATGACAATGATAAGTTTTGCTCTATTGATTATGTGAATTATTATGACTTATAATATCAAATTCTTTTACAATAGTTATTTCTTTTCGTCCACTCATAGCTAAATTGAATTTTCAGTATGCCCATTAATAAGTTAATTAAATTGCTTAAGAATATGTCGTATCGACCTATATCAACATGGTATAATATCATAGTTTATTTACAGCATTAAACATTATTCTATAACGAAAAGTAAAAATATTTATAAATAATTATCACGGCGTATTTTGTTACCCGTTTTAACCTGTTTCACCTCCGAGTCACCCTAACTCACCAGAGGCGACTATGTTGGTTTTATTGCGAACGTACGGCTCGGAGGTGGCGAAAGTACTGTGAATGAACACTTTCACTACTCCCTTATTCCATGATCGCTATGGACATAAACATGGTTTTGGCTGCAATGCCGCAAATGTCAGCACAAATGTCGCAGATGTTTGCGCAGGTGACCTTACAAATGGAAGAGATGTCATTACAAATGTTGGCGCAGTTGGATGCGCGGTTGTCAGCAGCGCTTGGGGGACGTTTGTCAGCACAGTTTGAAACAATTAGGGCGTGTAGGTCAACACAATTGGAGGCGAACGGGGTTCATATATTAATTGTTAAAAATAAGTCCGTTTCTAATGCGTCTCTCTAAAAACAAGAGAACACAAATTGCACATATGTTGAAACACACAAACATGCATACTAATGTAAATGAAAAAAGCGAAAACGGCTATAGTTTTTTCTTATTATAGCTGGAATCAAAGGACGTAAGATAATTGTGTGGGCCAAAAGGATTTTATAGAGTGCATCATGGTTAAATATGCATACTTAATATCTTAAAAATAAATTTGAAGCAAAGAGCGGAAGAATTGGGTCTTGGAAGTGACTACTATTCTATAGATTACGGACCCGTAGCATACAGCATAGACATAGTTAAGCTTTGGTTACTCTACAACGTTCCCAAGCAGCTTCAAACACCACGAACGAGGAATGGGTTGACATTCCTTCGACAGAAACCTCTGAGCTTGTCTATTTCATGCCAAAACCTGTAGCGTAAGTTTTAAAACGTTGGGGATATCCGACTTGCTATTAAAATTTAAGCAGAGTTCGGTGAAAGAATATCTTTGCTTTTTACCCTGTACGCATACTTTTTCTAATGGATTTTTTATTCGTCGGCATGGTTTGCTTTATTTATGTATAGCTCATTGTCGGAAATTTAATCACATTTATTTTCATAAAACTACATATTTACTGTCTTTTAATAAATATCAAATAATTTAGTTTTTATAAAAAGTATATAAAATTATTTTTTCCAATGATTTTTTTTTTGTTGGCACCTTGTATGCATACTTATTATGCCTAGTGTATATTATTATAATGCCAATATATTCAATTATATGTAACATTTAACTTTAGAGATTAGAGTTATATAATGTACCTGTATTCAGGATCATTCGAATATTTCATTGATGAGTTCAGAATTTTTTGTTAACAATTCAATCTCACCAATCAAACATTTGAAAGTCTCGGCCGACAGACGGAACTCTTCCGCTGCATACTTCGTGCCCAGCGTGAAACGCTCAAAATACTGAAGCCGTGTTCTCATTGACCTGTGCCGGAAGATGATCATTGCCCACCACGACGACATAGCGCCGCAAGAGATCGCATGTGCATATTGATGTGGAAAATCTTCCGTAAAATGCAAGATAATATAACCTAGATGAAGCAAGACAGGTGAAAACTTTGCACATATAACATAACCGTCCTCGCCGTAACGCAACTGAATTAGCTGACCCACCGGACCATTAACATTGTATCATCATAGTTGACCATAATCGACTCCGTAGTATTTATGAGACGACGTTGAATATAACCGGTTTTAGCAAATTTTACAGTAGTATTGATAACACCTTTATGACCACTCATACCATGAAAGTAGAACTCCGAACGTGTTAAACCGGCCAGATATGAACTCTTCACGAAGCCACAAGACTCAGGACCGTAATCGTCTTTAATGAAATGCTGTAATTTGCGCTTATGGAAACCTTACGATATACGTTTATCTTCGACGTTTTGTTGACCCACACAAACAATATCCTGTGAATGAGATATACTTGTATTATTAATTTTGTTTGTATTAGTCAGCATTATGCACCAGATTTGAGTGAAGTTTTGTGATTCGAACGAGATAATGCTATCCTTTTGAACTCTTAAACGCGTCGGGAAGTAATCACCATTTCTTTGGTTATCACTATTTTCGAAACTAAAAAATAAAATAGAAAACAATAAAAATGCTTTATAATACACAGGTACATAAAGCCGCAATCAAAAATTTATTTTGCTGCTCTCTTCTCTCTCTCCTCTCATTGCGTCTGTTGTGACACTTCAACAGTATTCCCGATTATCAAAAATGTTTCTCCCTAAAACTCTACCCCTAAAAAATATTAATTATTAAAATAAATAATAAATTATTTTATATAAGTTGTACATTCATTTATAAGAATATTTATTAATAATATTTATAATAATAAATATTCAAACATTATTGAATTAGTAATACATTGAAAATTATAAATAAACAAGTAAGGAAGGGCTAAGTTCGGATGTAACCGAACATTTTACACTCTCGCAAAATCAAATGGTATACTCGTTTGAAATTTCTGTGTGGATTGATTGATATTTTCGGTAGAAGGTCAACTATAGGCACTGGGATCCACATAATTAGTACTTAGGGGCTTGAACAGTTTTGGTTCGATTTAGACAATTTTTGGTCACAAGGTGGCATACGTTAAACGTATTATTCACGCAAAGTTTAACCTCGATATAATCATTGTTGTGGAAAGTGGAAAGAATCAGATGGAATTGAAAATGGTGTTATATGGGAAATATGCGTGGTTGTAGTCCGATTTCGTCCATTTTCGCACTATGATATAGAAATATGAAAAGAACGTTACGCACAGAGTTTGGTTGAAATCGGTTAAGCAGATCCCAAGATATGGGTTTTCACCTAAAAGTGGGCGGCGCCACGTCCACTGTCTAATTTTGAACGCGGTTCCTATAAAGTCATATCATACCATATCAGGCGTGTTTAGAGATTGATTTATCGCGCTTTTAGTAGTTTTTAACAGTACCGTTACATGGGGAGTGGGCGGAGTTGCCACCCGATTTCAACTATTTTCACACTGCCGGTAGAAGTTCTAAAAACATTTGCTTCCAGTGAATTTTGTTATTATAGCATTAGCGGCTTAGGAGATATGCACATTAAACCTATTAGAGGCGGGACCACGCCCACTTTAAAAATTTTTTTAACTGCAAATGCCCCTTCCTAATGTGATCCTGTGTACCAAATAACAGTCTTGTATCTTATTGCGGAGCTTAGTTATGGCAATTTATTTGTTTTTGATTAATGGCGTTTTGTGGGCGTGGCAGTGGTTCGATTACGCCCATCTGCAATACCAACCGTCTCACGGTACCAAGAAACATGCCTACCAAGTTTCATAAAGATATCTCAATTTTTACTCAAGTTAGAGCTTGCACGGACGGACGGACGGACAGACAGTCACCCGGATTTCAACTCGTCTCTTCATCCTGATCATTTATATATATATATAACACTATATCTAACTCGATTATTTTTAGGTGATACAAACAACCGTTAGGTTAACAAAACTATTATACTCTGTAGCAACAGGTTGGGAGAGTATAATAAAGGCATTAGCAAAATTTTTTACTATTCCATATTTATTTTTTCTAATACTTCAAGTATGGTATCTTTTTTGAATCTGCTCTGCTAAACAACAAAGAAAATTCCTAAATCTTTATTTTACAGTCTTTGGGCGCAAGTTTATAAGTTAAAAATAACCCTTAAAATCTGACACCATAGTTTTATAGACAAATTTACATAAAATAGTAATTAGCCAGTGCAGAAAAAGTCTGCGTACAAATAGTAAAATGGGAATTCCCTACATAATAACCAAATTTAAAAGTGTGGAAAAGTTATAGTTTTATTTGTTTTCATAAAAGTAGCAGACTTAAAACACTACTCACTTTGTTATTAGATTTAGAATATCGAATCTTGCCTAAAAAAAAAGAAATGAGCCCCTTTAAAAGGGACATAACTGATAAACTTTTCGAAGAAGGAAAACATACCTTGAAATCGGTCGAATTGTTGGAAGAACACATTCTTTCATACAAAAATTAATAAAAAAAAAGTACAAACATACTGACGTTTTTATATCTAGGAGCTTCCAATGCGGTCAAATATACTAGCACGCATGAAACGCGTAACGTTTTGCAAAATGTGAAGCAACACCTTTGATCCCTCTGCACTGACACCATTCCCAAATTTAAAAAAAATACAGGGTTTTATGGGCAAGTAGCACACATGAGCTCATTCATATAGCTAGTTAATAGGTAAGCGCATAATATTGTCGCGAAAAAGCACCTAAATAAGTCTCGGGAAATTTGCGGAAATCTTTTTTTCCGATCAGAGCATGTTTTTCGTCTTTGGAATCAAGGGGCGTAGGATTTTATGGCGAAAAACGGGCACGGCACTCGATAAGGAAATCTTAATGCCTGCTATGAAGAACTTGGGCCTTGGAAGCGATTCCTTTTATCTAAATGGCAATGACCTAAAGCTTACAGCAGACATAAGTTAGCTTAAGTTACTTTACAACGTACCCAAGCAGCTTTAAGCACAACCAGAATCACCAGATTTTAATCCTAAAATCCGTGAACACATAATAAACTCAAAGGATATGCTCAAGGATGTGCTGCCCGAGGAATTGCCTCACATCCCTTCGATATAAACCTCTATGCTAAACCCTTAGCGGATGTTTTAAAACGTTGGATATCCGACTTCCTATTAAATTTTAAGAAGAATTCGTAGGAAGAATAACTTTATTCGACATGTGTACCTTGTACGCAGACTTTTTCTAATGGATTTTCTATACGTCCATATGTTTTTTTTTGTGTAAATGCTCCTGTCGGCTATTTAATCACTTTTATTTTCATAAAACTACATATTTAATGTCCTTTAATGAATATCAAATAAGTTGGTGGTTTTAATAAAAGTATATAAAGTTATTTTTTCCAACAATTTGAATGCAGAATGTTGCTGTCCAGTGTACATAGAATGTAACTAAATCTAATTATTTCGAAAGATTCATGGTGGTGTGATCGTGGTAGTATTGTATTTGTGTGCGTGTTGGTGCATGATGTAGTGATGTGGAATTTATGGTAAATAAATAGGTGTGGTGATGTGGATATAAATTGATGTGGTGAGTGTGACAATGTCTTATGGTGAGGAGGGACTGAGACTCATTTAGCTATCCCGGCACCCCTAGGCAAATGATTAGCCTAGTCGCTGCAGCTGTTGCAGCGTTGCCACTACGCTGCCAAGACCCGTGGAACGACGTGGTTGTGGTTTAAGCTGTCGACGCCGCATCGATAGGCAGTTTATACAATGCCCGTGTGCCTGGGCAACTTGCTGTCATTGCAACGGTCGCATAACTTAAAAAATCCCACAGTGTTGCAGACGATATCGGACATCGTATGCGATGTGCCTATGAAGGCAGTGATGACATCGTGAGTGGTGGTCGCGTGACACCACGATGAGCGGGTGCTGATACAAGTAAGGTAGTTGCAGCTGCAGCTCGGGGCTGGGGGTTGTATTGCGGTAGTATCGATTGGTACAAAGCTCGAGGTGCACTGCTTTTGTCGTAAAACATACAAAGACAGCCACATAGCCTTTCATTAGAGTAGGAGACCTTAACATGATCTGAAAAGGCGCAGCAAATTCGACACCTGTGATGGAGAAAGGCAGAGCGAAGTTGCAGCGCTCCGGTGGAAGCGCTGACATAGTCTGTTTTCGCATATTCTGCTTGTACATTGTGCAGATTTTGCACAGGAAACAACAATTGGCAACACTTCAAGCTCTTAAGCTGTAATTTTTTGGCTGTGTACATTTATGTTTTTATTTTAAAAAATTCTTGAAGTTTAATTGATTTTTTTACCGTGTTAATAAAATTTTTAGTGATTTAACTCTCAGTTTCATGATAAGTATTAAATGTTCTTAAGTTTTGTGCGGTATTAAAAAGTTTAAACTTTCCAATTTTTGGTGCCGAGTCAGCTTTTTGTTTCATTTTGTTTTATTTAATTCTATTTTCTCTCTTTGTTTATCTTATTTACTTCTTTATTCACAGCTGTGTTGCGTTTAGCTTTTTATTGGTTACAGTGCTTCTAAAACTTCTCGCTATATTGCTTTTTCAAATTGTCTTGGTTGAAATTGTCTTAATTGAATTTATTCTTATTAATATTTTATTAACACACGAATTTATTATTTATCTATTAAATTTTGTTCTACTTACTCTTTTATTTGATCTTCATTCTTGTGGTTTATTATGTCTTGTAACTTCCCCAATTGTAACATTAAAGGCGAGTCAGATCGCTACGTTTCATGCTGGCTTTGTGATGGGCTTGCCCATATTAAATGTGCTGGACTGACTGGTAGAATCTTAGATTCTATTCTCGACTGTAAGGGATTGCGTTGGTCCTGTTTAAATTGTAGATCTATTGAAATCGATCTATTAAAAGTTTATAGGGAGACACGCAATGGCTTTAACGAAATCGGTCGTGATCTTGTAAACCTCACTGAAAAATTTAGGCACTATGAAAAATTGTTCAAATCTTTTAAATGCCTGAATGATTCTCACGAATCCTCTAAACCTGCTCCTAAGCGTAAACGTCCTTCCGATGAAGTAACACTTAGTTCTTCTGTTCAGAAAAGAACGTTTCCTCCCAATGACCTAATAAATCTCTCTTCTCCTTGCCCTCAAGGTGATAAGCCGTCAACTTCCAAATGTGTCTCACAATTCCAGAGGCTCCCCCTATTAACTTAGTAGCATCAGTTAATAATTTGATAGTTATTCCACCTAAAAAGTCTATATTTATTTCGAGACTTGCCAAAGATACCTTGGTGGAGGACATTAAATCTTACATTTCGTCACGTTTAAAAATCGATCAATAGGCGTAATACAATTTCCGAATCGGACCACAGATATAATTTGTATATTGCCATGTTTAAATGCATTCGCATTATGGATACTAGTTTGGCAGAAATAGCGCTCCACACAGTTCAGGTCGTGGTA